TGTCAGATGTCCCCACTGAATCCAGGGTTTAAAGCCTCAGTGTAGTTTGAACCAAAGGCTGCTATGGTCCTGGAGTTTATCTGAGATGGGAGAGAGTTAAGCCAAGCTATCATTGGTCTGTAAATTCGTGTGATTTTTTATTGCAGCCCAAAGCTGCCGTGTGCCTCTCACAGATTTGGGAAGGAATATTTGTGGCAAAATTAGTAAATAAGGATGCTATCATGTGTGCTTTTATTGTAAATAAGGGACGCTGTTTGTACTTATCGGGTGTGCGTGTGTGTTGGGGCTTAAACCTATGACATTCACACTGAGGTGTATCGCCAGTCCTTTGTATTTCTCTGATTTTGAGACTGTGTCTCAGCATTGTTCACCTGCCCAGTTTCTGCCCCACCTGTCCATCCTTCTGACTCAGCCTCACTGTGCTGGGCTGACTGTTGCTCACTATCTGTATTGGGTGACTGTCTTCTGAATATGTGGGTGCCTACCAAAAAGTCTGAGAAGTTGAAACATTCATTTTTTGGTCCTATCTGGACTCCTTAGGCCCTGTTCCTCATCTGTCTCACCAGGATCAGTAGGAATGAAATGAAAAAAAATTTCAGCTCATTGGATCAGACACATGACAAAGTTCTAAAGCTTAACACACAGTGGGAGGAGACCAGGAATTGTTAGCGTCCGACTCAGACACATTGGGCCAGGTTTCATATTCTTGTCCTTGTAAATAAAGGAGGCTTTAAAAACCACATGCTGTTTGGCTGTGTTGTATTGAAGTGAATGAGCATCTTGGGTGAGACTCATATCAGGGTATAATAATTTGTTTTAATATTTCATAGCTAAGAATAGAATTATAGCAATAATCTTCTGAAAGCAAAATTAATGGTGATATTACACTGATTAAATCAATTAATAAACCACAAATTGAGTTGTGAATATTTGTGGCTTAATTATGAGGATGATGTCAGTGCTTTTATAGTGTGTATAAAATGTATTGGGATGTCAATTTTCTACAGCTGATTAGTGGTTTATTTTTCCTTGGTTTCCTTTACTTCTTAAATAATATGAAGTTTAAAATTTATTTCCTAAATATCTTATCCTAGGAACCAGATCAGAAGAATTGGAAGAGCCCTTTGCTGTCTGATATTTCCAGTGATAGTTACCTATCTATATGAGTTTTAGTACCTAGCATAGCTGACTTTGTAATCTATGGCTCTTTACATAGCAGCTGTGAGCATTCTTGAGGATTTTGTATTGCTGTATCCTCCTCCAAACAGGGTTTCATTTTGCACTTCATATACCACACTCAAGGTTAAAATTCCCAATCTTTCTGAAGCAGACATTTTTGAAATACAGATATTAGCTCATATTGGTCTGTACTCATTACTTTCAAGGAAATCTTGTTTTTTTAAATCTCATTTCCTAGGGTACTTTGAGCCCTCTTTTCAGTTCATCAGTTCATTCCTGTGGGAATGGTAATTTCTATTCCCCCTCTGCTGTACACTTCACCCACAGAGAGCACTTGTGAGCCAGTTTAGTTTAGGCCCCTAGGAGTCTGCACAAAGCGAGTTCTGGCTCAGGCTTCTGCTGTGTGGCTCATGCCCAGGGGGAGACCAGAGCTCCTGTTTGCTGTTCTCTTCAATACTTTCCAGATGAATGTGACAGGTGCTCAGGCAGGTTTGGTGACAAAATTTAAAAATGAGTCCAAATTTTTCCCTTTTGTCTTTCCTCTTCTCTCCCCTCTCCTGCCTCTTCCTCCTGCTTTCTTTCTTCACTTGTCCTCCCACTCCCTTTTTTCAGTTCTCTCTTTTGTGTGCTTTCTGTGCCCTGTTTTATTATTTCACGAGGATTGTGGATCTGAGGTAGCCGGGGTGTCGCTGTGTAGCCTCAGCCTCTTTAGATGGATGTTTTACTTGCAACTAAAGCTCTCTGCATCACGCCTAGTAGCTGTAGATGGCGAGTTCCCCAGTTGGCTTTAGAGCTTCTAGTTTGTCCTTTGTATCTGTTTTTGTCACACAAATACATTTTCTGTGATATTTTGATTCTGTATCAGCCACATTCCCAATGCATTGCACATGTCTAAGGAGAAACCAGTTACTCTTCTAAATTTGAATCTCAGGTAAGGAATTTATTCTGCAAGTGAGAGCTTCTGCAGAATTGTGAATTTTTTAGTAGAAATTCATTGTAACTCTTGTAATATCCAGGAGTGATGATGTAACCTGGGGTATCTTAGGAAAGTCCCAATACTTGACAGTGAACTATTGTGGACTTCAGAAAACAGAGTGGACCCAAAGCGCCCCGTCCTGCAGTACCTGTTTGGAGGTGGCCTCATGAGACACTTGTGGAGAGGGGAAAGATCACCCTCATGCTTGCTCAGAGTTGAAGTGGTTGTCACTCCTCTTGTGGAGGACCCTGCCTTGTATGGAGATCAGTAGACCCATCGCATTTGGCTGGCTGAGGGGTGTGGTTTTGAATACAGTGAGAGTAAGACCATGTGGCAGATGGTTCCTTTCATCTGCTGCCTCTTGTAGTGTAGGAGTCAGTGGTCAATTCTTTTCCTCTAGTTTGTAACACATTTACAGATGTGACCTCAGATGGACCTCAGCTCCATCTCTGAAAGTGCAGAGTGAATACATGTGCCCCACATGTGCCTATCTGGCCAGCAGGCTCCAAGGCTAGGTGCAGGGGTAGCAGCTCCATGCACATAAGCACATGCACATAGACAAATGTCGTGAGTGTCTTAGAGCACTCTGAACTCCGGGCAAGGTAAACACGCACACACGCCTGATCGGGACACGGGGGGTACAGTGCTCGGAAAAGAAAGACAGGAGAGACACCTTTACTGTCTGCACCGCGTTACACTGCACTGCACGCACAATCTTTATTTTAGGATTCATATATAGTAAACCCGATCAGTTCACAGAGCCCAGATAATTAAGTGGTGAAAAGGCATTCTTTGTGGCAAGCTACAACGTGACAGACTACAATGTTTATTCTAAAACTATCTAAGTGAAGTAAATAATCACAACCAGTTCTCATAACTTCTCTAGCCCAGGAAGAAATTCATTAGCTCAAGAATGTTGTTAATTTGTCTGCTGTTAGTGTCACAAAGGGTGGCCAGCCACTTCCTCAAGACTTCTGCAAAACAAAGCCAGCTCACAGTATGGATTCCAGAGGGCGAGGGGTCTCACTGAGAACAGGCATTCCTATTCTACCTCCTTCTCGCATACCAGGGCGGCTATTGTAAATTGCAGGTTAGAGGGGGTTGGGCCTACAAAGTGACACCTCATCCCCCACAGACAAACAGAAATGGACACACACAAATACACATGCACACACATACACACACACACACACACACACTTTCCTGGTCATGCCTAGGGGCTAAGATATAGCAGAGCTCACCTGTCAGCAGAATCTGCTGTTGGAGAGGGAAGCACACCTGTCCTGGGCTGGGATCTACCACTCTCCTCACATAAGTACTAATTCATTTTTAGAAAACCTAGAAAAATACTTCTGTCATATAACTTTCTCAGCAAGAGAATTCTAGAGTTTGCTTCACTTGCTCTGCTTTGTTTTGTGTTTTCCTTTACCAACTTTATTTATTTATATTTAATGTGGTCCAGTATTTTGATCTCTCGTCCTTTTTTTATTTCTATGACTCATTTTCTTATTGTTGTATTATGCTGTTTATTTTATCATTTTTTCAGTCCCCTTTTAAGCTTATTATATTATCAAATTCATCTTTATTAATTTATGTGTTTCTAGTTCACTCTGCACTATTTTGACCCTTTTTTATTTCTACAGTTGATACATTTGTTAAATTAAATTGATTTTTTACTGTATTTCCATATCTTGATGGGTACTGATGGAAAGACAGAGCTTTACATAACCATAAATTCCCTAACTACTGTTGATCCATGTTAGATATTCCTTGAGAATTCTCTTGCCCCTTTGGATCTTGTTATGTTAGTGGGTTCTGTGGCATTCCTGTGACAAATGAGGGGTCATTTCCTGTTTTCAAGTCACTCCTGCATTCTGATGAGGTCAGATTCGTAAATGAATTGGGTGTTCAGTTGTGCCCACTGGATTGGTGGGGAACATGTGATACAGCCTAGTGCATACATGGCCAGGATTATTACTAATCTTGGTGTTAGCCTTCCATGATGCACCCTTCCTCCATATTGCAATTGGGTCTGATCCATACTTGAAAGTGAAAAAGGTACCTCTTTAACTCTGATCCTTCCTGAGTAGTAGGCTGGGTCTCCCAACCTGTAAACCAGACTGACACCACCTCATCCCCTAGTGAACCTTACACAATAAGCAAAAAAAGGTAGATAGAGTACAAATGTTATACACCAATTGCATCTTATTAACCATCTCAGGTTTATATCCAAATTGAAAAAAAAAAAGAATAGAATTTGCAAAGCTCAAGGAACCTGTGGAAGTCAGCCACATCCTCTTTATGTGGCAGAGTCTGCACAGAACATAGGTCCCCATGCTCTTTTGATTTTCTACTTAGTCATGCACAGAGGCCTTTTCTGCACTCTGCTGTACTAATAAACTCTTCTGGTGTGCCCAACATTGCAGGTGACCAGCTGGACCTTCCAGGCCGGAGGATTTTTCTCAGGGTTGCATCACTGGGGGAGGACATCCTATTCCTTGATAACAGTAATAAACTCCAGCCTCCTCACCCTGACCTCTGCAGATTTTGAGTGTGAAATCGTTTCTTGATAAGCTGCTAATGCACCTTTCTAGGACCGAAGAGTGCTTTTTGAAAACCTGAAAAATCATGCCTTGTGGAGCCTGGTATGGCTTATGTACCATTATCTCAAATAGATGATTCCATCACTATGCTCAAGACTCTGTTTGGAACTAGAGGAGAAGGAGCCTGGTTCTCCGGGTGCCAAAGAGAGTGAGAGAGAGTGGGGTCTTGGCATCTGAATATCTCCTGTGGACCCTTAATCATTGGATAGAAAGACAAGGTCATGTACAGGCATGATGATTCATTTTCATATTGTCTCCATTATTTCATATTTGAAGCTAAATTATTTTTGCGATTTTCATATATAGGAAAAAGTGTTCACTTATAATAAAGTATCCAACATTTGCACCCACTTGAGAATTAATGTGGATCATCCTTCTCTTTCATTGTGACATCATCACCTCACCATAGCTCCAACTCCAGTGGAATTTTCCTCACTCACACAGACCTCAAGCTCTTGTTCTCACCCTGTTCCTGAAGGATGCAGTCTCTCACATGGAGAGAACAACACAGGTAACAGTGGGACCCCATCCCACTCACTCATTCTCCATCCTCATCTCCCTCCATCCTTACCAGGGATGCAGAGCATTACCAGCTCCAGGAAATGAGCAGGGAGCCTCATTTTGAAATGCTGAAATGAGGGTCCAGATGAATCAAGACAGGTTGAGTTTTTATCTGGAACTTGAAGGGAAGCCTCCTGGTGGGCATAGTAAAGGGCAGGATGGGAAGCCTCTCCCATGAGCAAAGTTGCTTCAAATCTCTATATTTGGGGAAAATCAGAAGAGCAAAGTCCATGTGCTGTCCAGCACTAGGAGGAAGGATCCCATTTCTAAAGGCCCTGTCCATACTGCAGCATGGTGCCTCAGTGCTCTTCCCCAGTAAGGAAACCACTGCCTCCTCCAGTTACTGCTCAGCACAGCAGCTTTGTGCTAGTGACAACATGGAGCCTGGAGAGGGCTTCTGGCAAATGTGGTTTAGAGGTGAACTATTGAGATGTTAGTCTTCATGGGCACAAGGGTTACACACCATGGGGCACTGCTGTCAACAGAATTTTCCAGGAATATAAAAAAAAATTTCTGTTTCAGATAGAGAATTAGGTGTCCTGTTGAAGGCAAGTGGAGAAAGAGACAATGATTGTGCATTAGGTAATCAATACATAATTCCCAGGCAGTAGTTTAATTGATGAATATCCTGTCTTACTTATCTCCACAGAGAGATGTTAATATGAATACGAACAGATATTAACATGTAAATGGGTATACTATAAACATATGTTTGTATAGAAATACATCTCTCTATATGTTTTTACATGTTAATCCGTATCTTTGTACACAGACATGAAGGAATATGTATCTATAAATGTATATATATATATATATATATATATATATATATGGCTATATATAAATGCATATATGTACATTCCAATGTACTAGATTAATTAAAATTGTTCTTAGGGGGGTAATTCCTTTGAAATCTTTCTTAATTTGGGGAATTTTGAGACACAATCACACTTTGTAGTTCGTCCTGGCCTTGAGTTCACTGTGCAGCCCAGGCTAGGTTCAAACAGGTCAGCTACATATCCTCATTCCATCAGAAACTGCTCACTCACTGTACAGACACCCAAGGGTCTGTGGTTAACTCACCAGTTCAGTCACCATGGGTTTGGAAGACATTTCACTGCTACTAACAGCAGCTTATAAGCTGAAGACATAACATAATGTCTGCAACCAGTGTTGTAGTCATTCTCCCCGTTTGATTCATCCTGGAGCATCTTGAACTCATTTTAGTGTCTATCCTGCTGTTTGCTGGCCATGTGACATGGGAGGTGCACTCTCTCCATCTACCTAAAAACTGTATCCCATTCCTTCTGATAAGAATGGTGACAAGGTTTAGCAGAAAATTAAATGGACTGGTGTGCCTTACATACTTTATTATGAAAGATTCTTACAGAAAAACTAAGTAAAGACATCCACATTACTTTTCCATTTCTACAGAAAGATTTCACATGAATTCACTTCTTGAACATGCAAAAGTCATCATGTTACACTTCTGCAGGTCAGAAGTCCAACTCAGTGTTCAGTGTGATAGAGCCAGGATGCTGTCAGGATGCATTCACTCTGGAGGATCCAGGAGGGAATCTGTCCTTTTAAAGTCCTAGAGGTGTCCCAGAGCCTGTGTCCCTCATATTCTTACTCCCAACATTTCCTCCTGGCCCCTCTCCAGGTCATACCTCTGTGTGTGGCCTCCCTGTGTGCTGTCCAGATGTCAGTACTGAGAAACTTCAGTCCACAGGAAAGAAGGGTAAGATTTTGTGTTACAGAGATTCTGCTTTGCATTTTTTCAACATCAGTTAATTAAAAATATTCCATTGTTAAGGAGGAAAACTTTGTTCCCCTGTGGGAATAATGAGCTAGCTGATTCCATTTATGCATCCATTTTCAATTGCAAATCAGCATTGTCTGTTCTAAGACAGCGAAGACAGTGGGTTTTAAAGTTGTTTTTTCTATAAAGTGGCCATTGTTTGCTTGCTTAGTGTGTACCAGGAGAACAGACATATTGAGTGGCACCATGGAGAGCCCATGATGATGTTTTCAGTGTGGTGTAAAGATACAATGGGATGCACCAAGGTGAGATCCTCACCTCCAAAGGAGCTATCTATGGAATTATGACAGCAGGAATGACTGATATACTTTATCCAAAATTAAAAACAAATGTGTTCCCTAGAAAACACAGCAATTTAAATAGTTTGTGGTGTTCACATTGAAGGAAAGCTCTCTATGAGTATCTGAGACATCTAGAGCATTTATGCAGGGTGCAGGCAGCAGTGAGTCTCAGGTGAGTTTGTTGTGGGTGAACAGAGTGCACCCTGGAAAGCCAATGGGTACTTACTGGTCCTAACTTAGAGCCAGAATATGTTTTTCGACACACAGTTACACATGTGTCAAAATCAATAGTATTGTATACTAGAAATGTGGCTTTTTATAAATGTAAAATTTATCCATATCATCCTGTCTTAAAAAGGAAAAAGTTCTGTGACTGTGGCTCTGCTGTAGCACTGAGCATTATGGAAGCCCATACGAGGAAAATAATGTATTGATTTGTGCAATTATTATCTAAGGGAACTGTTATTCTCTATGGCTAACTTTTTTTCTCGTACAAATGTTGAAGATCTTTTGTTTTGGGGACTTTCATGGGAGCTGTTAAGTACTGAGTTGGGTAATATTTTCATTTAAAGTTTCATTAAAATTCAAAAATGAGGATTGTATGATCCTTTCTTGTACAGATGGTAATTCTGCATACACAGTGTTAAATGGAGATGCTTGAGTCTGGCCTCAGGCTCTGGTATGCAATCTACCCAGTGGACCCAGCAGTTGGCTTCCTAGCAGCTGGCCTTGAGGATGTCACCCTCTTGCTGACTCACCTTTGTTGTGGGGCTCTGCAGATCCTGCTGCTGTCTGAGAGCAAAGTAGAGCAATACGGTGCTGAGGTCTTCATTTTCAACCAAAAATTTTCACTATCCTGTTAAGGCTGGACTGTGTGCTTCTCTGCTCAGAGGTTTTCTTCCCTGTGGAGGAGGCACGGCCATCACTTCAGATCCAGAATGAGACCCTCAGTTCTTCATCTTAGCCATTCTGTGTAAGTCAGGGAATTTTCCCCATGCTATGATTTTTCATTTGAATGTAGGAATGATCCATCTCTCACATTAAACGTGAAATAATAATAAAAATTCTTTATTCCAAAACAAAGAGAAATGCACATCAAGTCCAGTCTGTCCTTAAAGTATTCATTAGTTTCTCTTTTTTGTCCTGACTTACTGTCATAGCTCCTAGGCCCCCTGGTTAGGCACATCCTTGGCTGCTGTGATTGAAATTTGGTGAAGTCTGAACACTCCTCATGTCCCATTGATGTCCACAGATTGAGATGAGTATGGTCTCATGATGGATGAGGATGGAAGTTTTCTTCTGTCTGTTTTCTTGTGGATGTTTAAGACTGACCCAGCACCTCCAAATTCTAGTGAAGCACTATGCAACTGAGCTGTACCTGCAGTCCCAGATTTGAGATTTTTCTCATTTCTGCAAGGCGATACAATGTGATCAGCCCTGCCTGCTCTCTGCTGTCTAACCTTGTGTCCTATTGGGTGTCCTTTTCTCACAAATGCCTCTTCTCTGGGTCTGGTTTATGACCCTGAGATTGCTGAATTCTTCTCCTGCTCATGGCCTCATGACTCATTATTTCATTGCCCAGTTGCTATTTCCCTTGGTAATCAGGCTTCAGTTCGTTCCCCATTTTGACTACGACCCAGGTGAGAGTCTGGTGTAGCTTTTTCTCTTTTGAGAGCTGGACCTGAATGTTGAGGACTTTAACCATGAGAGTCTTTCATCACTGGTGGTGACTAGAAGCCCTGAGTTTTTCCACATGGATCACATTGTTCTCAGGGATGATCTGCAATTCACAGTGAAACTGCCTCTCACTTTCATAAAATCCTCCATGTCCTTTGAGGCCCTGGTATTTGGGACAGCCTAGGATGAAGCCAGTGAGGCATTTGCTTTGGTTGCAAAACTGAAGAAAGTGCCCACATCTCTGTCACTTGTATGATAAACTTTAATGCATCCAAAGGCCACTTGATATGAAAAAATCAGAATTGTAGGTGAAAACTGATAGAGTTACTTCCAAAAGATGAAAAATATTAACAAAAGATGAGAAATATAAAATAAAAAGCGGCCTTTATTCTGAGAACACGGAGAGAGATGACCGGCAACCCCCACCGCTGGCGTCCGGCGATCTCTCCGGCGGACACGCGGCGTGGGGGCCTGTAAATAACCTCGGTTTGGGGTGGAACCTAAGGCGGGCATTAGGGATACACAGGTAGCCCATTGGTCCTAGGTTTGGCGCCATATGTAAATTCCCAGGGGCGGGAAGATGGCGTCACAGGTAACTTCCTAGGGGCAGGGCAAGATGGGGCTTCCTGCTTCCAGTTGTGGCTTTCCTGGCTACAGTGTCCTGTCTGGGCCAAACCTTTCATATCCCGTCTTATGGTTATTATGAAAAGGGGCAAAGCTTTCTCTCTTTAACTACTTCCTGCTGGCAAAGGGCGCTGTACTGGAGCCTAGGGGAGTTGACGGGATGAAGGTTGATGCCCAGGTAGACGCTGGTACCAGGTGTTTTGGCCAGGACAGCTTCACTGGTGAATGCACGTATGTCAGACTGGAAAAACAAAGAGACAAGATGTTATGAGGAGACATGGCACTGTCATATTTAAGGACCCAGGTGAGGTAAAGGGAAAGGTGCCTTTGATTTAGACATATCATTCTATCAGGACCATGTTGAGGTAGAAACATTTCCACGGTGAGGCAGAATTCTGAAAATTAAACGTGGGGTTAGGAGGAGTGGAGTTATGAGAGGTGATTACTCCCCCATCTGAAAGCATAAAAGTTAAGACGGTAGGTTGGTAAGGCTTGTCTCTGGTATGCATGATGTTGGAGTCTGTAGGCAATACTGCTAAAGAGTCCTGCTGTAAAAATGATCATTAATAGAATGTAAGAAATTAGGAACCAAAGTGGATAACAAAACATGACTTAGCCTGTTAACTGTGGCTGCGAGGCCTTTGTGAGACGGAGACAGGTAGGAGACAGAAGATGAGATGACCACTCAGAATGATCAGATTTAGGGCTGGGAGGGCACCTCTTAGCCTGAGTGATGTGAAACCAGGATGGCAGTCTAGCAACTTTGATTTAGGCATGGGTCACTGTAACCTGGTTGTAGTCCTTGGAATGATTTGCTGTAACAGAACTTTAGCAAGTATGAGAAAGGCTTTTATGTATCCTGAAAAAGTATAAACCAAGTGAGAAGACTGGGACCTGCACAAAATAGGCCCTGTTTGTAAATGACATAGGTTGACCATCAATACCCCATCATAGAGACTGAGGACTTAATATAGCAGCCTGAAAACTCAGGAAGAACTCTGTATATATGGCCTCTATGTCCACAAATATAGAGAATGTCTTACCTGAGAGTTTTGTGCGACTTGGAATCTGAGACGGACACCTTAAAGGGGGCTGTTGTTGCCCTGAACTTCCTCAGTCTTCAGCAGCGATTTTCTGTCGGTGATGAATCTGGCAGTGTCGACATTTCCTATGAGGGCTAGAACTTAGGATGGCTTACCCACTCTCTGGTGGCTAGGACAGTCCAGTAGCCCTGGAGTAAGGTCTCAAAGAATGCCAGGGTGGGGCATTTTCTTGCCCAGTATCTTCTGCTGCATTTGAGCGTGGTCCATGGAGGGGGCAGGCAGCTCCACCTTGTGTAGGTTTACCTGTCTCAGAACTCCAAGTGTCACAAGTGTTAAAAATATAAAAAACCATATTAAGATCTCTCTAAGGTTTGAAGGTCAAGTTTTGCCTTTTTGTTTGGGATTTGGACTATAGTAGAATTAAGTAAGCATGCAGGAATTTAATATTGGCATTTTGGATTAGAGAGCAGGCTTTATCTGGATGGCATATCGCTTTTTTTATAGGGTGACATGTAGAATTAACAAAGCTTTAGTCTGCCAAACAAGGCTTTAATGGAAACATTTTGCAGTAAAGGTTTAGCAATCTTATGAATAAATCAAAACTGATCTAATACTGTCAAATTTTGAACACATTTATTTTTAAAGTTGTTATTTGCAGTAGTATGAACCAAGACAAATAAAATAAAACTTTAAAGAAAACCCTTGTCTTGAAAGACAGCTAGTGGTTCCCAGCAAAAAGGAATTTATTACCTTAGTTGTTAAACAGGAGATTGGTGAAGGCTTTGATTGATAAGCAAGGCTGGTAAAATTATCAGGTGGCCAATAACCTTGATTAAATGGTTTGAGAATTGTAATAAAAAAGCATCTTTTGAGTGGAGCCAAATTGTAAAAAAAGCATGCCTGAGCAGAGCCGCTGAGCTGCTGTTTCGCGGCGCTCCGGCAGAGCACGCCCAGTGGGTGGGGCAAGCGCTGGGATGTAGCGCGCAGGGGCGGGCTCAGACTGCCCCCGGAAACGTGTAAGATGGCGGCGGTGACGAGGACGGCGCACAGGGGAAGGAGGGGCTGGGACGGCGCATGGGGGAGGGGCTGGGAGGCGGCCCGACACAGCGCGCGAAGCTGGAACTGCTTGCAGGGCGTGAGGATTAGAAAGCCAATTTAGGAACACAGCTGGGTTTTGATTAGCCTCCTGGACCTGTTTTAAAAGTTTGTTATAGTTAGTATGCTTGTCCTGCTCTGGCACAGATATAGGCCCAGAGTCATTATAAACGTCCTTAAAATGTAAATCATAACAATTAGTAATGAATTCAAATTGCCTGATATAATTCTGTGGGTCAACAGAAAAGCTACCTAATTTATGGACAGTCTGGGATAGATCAGAAAGGGAAAAAGGCACATGGATGTTAACAAGTCCCTCGGGGCCAGCTTGCTCCCGAAGCGGTAGCAGAGCCTGAGGAGATTCCGGAGCAGAGGGCCACTGAGCAGCCATCCTTCCGGTAGGCGCATGTGAGCAATCATCTGTAGAGCGGCTACAGAGCTGCTGCCGGTCACCCTGGGAAACATGAGCAGATGGCGTCTCACTGTGTGCCTTGCAGCTAGAGGACTGCTGTCGGCAGCACAATGAAGCATCATGTGCACTGCAACAGGGCGGCTGTTGTAGTTCACAAGAGGAGCCACAAGGAGACGCCTGTTGACAGTGAGGGCCCTGGAAACATGGCGGCGCCCTGTCACGTGACCCAAAACATGGCGGCGCCTGGGAATATGGCGGCGCCCTGTCACGTGGCCCGAAACATGGCGGTGCCTGGGAACATGGCGGCGCCCTATCATGTGACCCGAAACATGGCGGCGCCCTGTCGCCATGTGGCCCTCCGGAACATGGCGGCGCCATGCCACGTGGCAGAGGGTTGCAACATGGCGACTGTTCCCTGCGCAAGCTGGAACAATCACGCGACCTGCTGGAAGGACATAGCGACCGAGACCTAGTATGGTGGGCAGAGGGTGAGAATGCTGTAGGGGATACAGAATTCTCAGGAGAGGAAGTCGGAGACTGCGAGGAAGCGCTAACAGAGGGATTAGAGCTGCTGGGAGAGTTATGGGTCCCGGAAGGCAGAGAGGGAGCCGATCGCACAGCGGGAGGTATCTGCGACAGAGAGGGATTAGAGCTGCTGGGAGAATCAGGCATAGGGGGAGGAGAGAGTGGCCCGGCGGGAGGTAACGGCAGGGAACGAGTTTGGTGGTAGGCAGGCGGTGGCCGGGAAAACGGATGGCAGGAAGGAAAAGTTTGCGGCACAGTAGACTTAGCTAAAAGTATCTCAGCGGGAGCACAAGACTTAATGAGAGATGGGCGTGTTCTCAGAATAAGAAAGGCTTGGACATAAGGGAGTTCTAATAACTTGTTGCCAGCTTGACAAAAATCGTACAAGTTCCTGAGAATGCAGGGGTCAAATGTTCCTTGCTGAGGCCAAGGCTTGCCGATAAGCGGGTAGGTTGGCCAGACCTCCTGGCAGTAAAAAGTTAGTTGTTTAGTTTTTATGGTACCTTTAATTTTTAGAGTACGTAAATTGGAAATTAGGCATTTTAAAGGTGTCTTTTGGGTGTTAGAAAATACGTTCCCCATGACTGATTCAGGCAAGAAAAAAACCGGAGGTCCAGAAAAAAGTCGTCACTTATTTGTGGTACCACGCGGCGGCTACGGTTCCAAACCATAAACTCCAGTCGTCACTGAGAGATTTACGAATGGAGTCTACGTGGGGTCAGTAACAGTTTTGCCCGTGAAAGCGCAAGGCTTTAAGGGAAGTGAGGCATTCTTTCAGTGTGGGCGGTCCCAAAAATCTCTGCTTTGGGCTATCCGAACCCAAAGAATGTGAGAGATTTTGTGGGCGCAGGTTTGCCCAGAAAGAACCCTGCCCTGGGCGGTCCTAAGGACGTGAAAATGCACAGACCCACGCAGACGGGGAGAACATTCCACTGGGGCTGCCCAGTGCGAAAAGTTCCCCGGGGAGTGCTCACCTGAAATCAGTCTGGCCGATGCGGAGTGCAGGCGGCTGGCGACAGGAACGTCTCGGGAGAGGAAAAAGCTCGGGATTAATCCAGGATGGTATCTGGTTATCGGCGAGGAAACTCTGGGTATGTGGCCCAAGAGTTAGTTGCCTGCCGATCGAGTCACGGCAACAAATGATAGAGTTATTTCCAAAAGATGAAAAATATTAACAAAAGATGAGAAATATAAAATAAAAAGCGGCCTTTATTCTGAGAACACGGAGAGAGATGACCGGCAACCCCACCGCTGGCGTCCGGCGATCTCTCCGGCGGACACGCGGCGTGGGGGCCTGTAAATAACCTCAGTTTGGGGTGGAACCTAAGGCGGGCATTAGGGATACACAGGTAGCCCATTGGTCCTAGGTTTGGCGCCATATGTAAATTCCCAGGGGCGGGAAGATGGCGTCACAGGTAACTTCCTAGGGGCAGGGCAAGATGGGGCTTCCTGCTTCCGGTTGTGGCTTTCCTGGCTACAGTGTCCTGTCTGGGCCAAACCTTTCAAAAACAAGATCTTCCTTGTGAACAAATAAATGTCAATAAGGGTCGTGTGATATTGTGGCAATATGATATTGGTAAGATTATTTGATTCATGATGCTGGTAGTGTTTCTGTCACCAGTTCTGATCAGTGGCTGGGTTGATAGCCACATTGCATGTGTGTATTGCAAGGTCGTTAGAGTCCAAGACACTTGATTTCTGAAAGGTGGAGAATGGCTTGTGTGCTGTGTTTAGCTGGCGCGGGGATGTGTGCGAGTGTTAATTCTAATGACTGCAAGAGCACTGGATCACTTTAGGAGGAGGAGGGAAATGATGTTTCACTAGTGTTCTGTATGAGCCTGTTTTCTGTAACTAAAAGGCAAATAATGAACAGATTAAATGCCTAAAACTTCCTGAGATACCTGTGACACTTCTGCAGTAGTTGAACCAGAGCATAGTGTTGTAAGCAAAATAGTGCAACAAATCTTAGTTTGAAAGTGATTGAACAATGTCCCTAGAAACTTTCAGTGCATGAAGCTGACCAGAAGAGGGCACCACATGCACATTCACGTACTGTAGGTGAAACTTTCAGTATCTGGCTGTGACCCTACAAGTGAAATTGGCACATTTTGTAGCAATCAGACCCAGGGGGAAATTTCCTTGGAGTGTAATATAGGTTAAGTTTACAATTGCAAAGTGAAAAATGGTTCCATTAATGTTATTTTTGCCCTGGGGCATTAATCTCTCTGACTTCTTTTCTAATTTTTTTTTTCTTTATCTTAGTAGCCATTTCTTCTTGACCTCCCCTGTGGATCTGTCTTCATCTCTTTGCATTGCACACTGGGCTACCATCCTGGTCTCAGTCTGCTTTCATTTGTTTCGCTCACCTTGTCCTTTGGAATTGGTCCTCCTAGCTCAGTGTAGTTCCCTGATCTCCAGAATCCCTCCTGTGCCTCTGGGTTAGGATAGTGCAAGCTGGAGGCTGGGAACTCCTCACAATTCTAATCTGCGCCCTCATATATCCTAAGTCTCCCCTGCTGCTCACTGTTGCTTCCCTTCAACTCTCCTGTTCTCACAATATATGGTTTGAAATTCTCTGGTTGTTCAGTTTCAAACCAATGGAACAGGCATCCTGAATTTCACCTTGTTCTCACACATCACATCCAGAAAGACAACGCAGTTCATTTGTTTTGCCTTTAAAATATAGTCATCTGTCTACTTTCACTACAGCATCTGGGGGATCAATATCCTGCATGAAGACCTTGAGGTGAAGAGTGTTCATCTCTTTCTCTTCCTTGTCACTGGTTCTTTTTGCTCAGCTGTCTTCCTCAATCTCTCTTCTGGTCAGAGGAGCTGCACCTTGTTGTTCTGATTCTCCAAACTCTTCCTCTCACACAGAGCAATCTGTACTGTGCTGTTCCCCAGACAGAAGTGCAGGAGGGCAGCTGGGCCTCCCCAGGCAGGGAAGTTTGTGTTCCAGGCTGTAGCACCATGGGAGGTTCATGTGTACCTTGCACAAATTTTTTTGTGATTTTCATATATACTAAATGTGTTCAATTACAATAAAGTACTGAGGATTAGAACCCTTCTTGAGAATTAATGTGCATCATCCTTTTCTTTCTTTGTGACATGGTCACCTCACCATAGTCCCGACTCCAGTGGAATCTTCTTCATTCACACAGACCTCAAGCTCTTGTTCTCATCCTGTCAAGAAAAGCTGCAGTCTCTCATGTGGAGGGAACAACACAGGAAACAGTGGGACCCCATCACTCTCAATTGCTCTCCTTCCTTTTCTCCCTCCAT